TATATACATATATATATATATTTATTTATTTATATTTATATGTATAATTTCGCCGACGTGTATATCGCCGACGGCATCTAACAACAGTGATGGAAGGTGCCGATCGAATACGAATCGTCTCGGCATGATTTCTTTTGATTATATTTTCCTTTTGGCATACGAGACGCGGTGTATCGTGCTACTTTGATTTTCGATAAGGCGAGAGAACTCGACGAGAACTCCCCGACGCATCCCCGATCCTCTGGAAGGCACAATCTCGACGAACGTTCGCAGTTTGTCGGGACGTTTCGTACGCCAATATCGATCCCCGACAGCTTTCGCCAATCGATGCACTTGCATTCGCTACGCATGACACGCGTTTTGTCCCGTTTTTACTTTTCAAGCGACGCTATAAGTTCCGACAAAGGTTTCATCACTGGAGACAAATCCAGGGGTTGAAACCGATGCGATTTCGAGCTCAATTTCTGACACTAGAGGTATCAAAGGTTGGTTCTTATGTCGTCTCGCTAATTTCATTGTCACAAATAAACGTGGAAATGATCTTGGCGGTTAAATTTAAATACATCAAAATTATCGCGGTTTACTTATCCGATTTCTGAATAAGCATCTCCTATTGGCATATATGTATAATGTAAAGTGTGGACAGTTCTTTTGTCATAAAAATTCGCTACACATCAACACTACAAATGTTACAGCGGATAATTTGTTTGTTGCAACACACGTGTTTCTATCGGAAATACAATATATCGCCACTCAACTTTATCGCAAACTGTCACACACCAAAAAGCCACGGGAACCGTTTTAGCCTAAAAAAAGACGAGGATAACGTCCTATTGAAATCGACCTGCAACGGTATTCTGTACCGTATCACCGTACCAATGATATTTGTTAGTACCATAATATATAAATTATTAAGAAAAAAATAGCCGTTTGTGCAATCGCGAAGTAATCAATTTATGATTCTTTCATTTTCCAGTTATAATCTAAAAATAGTAAATTTTTTGCTTCCGGAAACATTAATTATCTCTTGATATTTCTCAATAGCGATACCATGGAGAAATGTACGTTACGGTACGCGATACCGCAGCCGATCTCGTTTAAATTTCGCTACCTATAGCACCTATGTGTGGACTGTGCCAGCGCGGCGTCGCTGGTTGTCCGCAGTACGCGCTGCCGATCGCCGACGGCGCGGGCGTGCCGACGGCACGGGCGTCATCGCCGACAGCGAATGCGGCCCGATTATCCTCTGTGTCGAAAATCCTACAAGAACCGGTCGTGGTGGTCGCGATAGCCGCCGCCGCCGCCGCCGCCGCGGCCGCTGCTGCGGTAGCGGTCGCCGCTGTAGCTGCGGTCGCGGCCGTCGCGGCCGTCGCGACCGTCGCGATCGCTGCGGTCGCAGCCGCCGTCGTGGCAGTTTCCATTGTTTCCGACACGGAATGTTCCCTACTTACATCACCATCGTCGCCGCCATCGATACCGTCGCCGTCATCCGATGTAACACCGCCACCGCTGCCACTCTCACCTACCATATTCACGAAGAACTCGGACCTGGAGAACTTGCCGATCTCCGTGGAGCCAAAAGCCTGATGGAAACCTGGAAGCGGCTGCTTCGAGACGGGTTTCTTCTTCAGCTCAAATCGCTCGCTCGAATGCCGAGATTCCTGCTCCTTTTCACGAGAAATCGTACCTTCCTGAGGCTAAAATCGACACCTCTTTAAGATATGGAGCGAGATGTAATAATTCGATGAATGAAACGGGTATTTTTATATAAATTTAAAAAATGAGAAATATTTTATATATCTTGAGACATATTATATTTTACCGTAGAGGTTGGCACGAGTTCGCCCAGAGGCATCCCAATATTATTTGGCTCCCATCTGGTCCGACCATCTTCCTCACGTCGATTTATCGTCGTCGTCGACATTGTCGTCGTCGTCGTCGTCGTCGTCGTCGTCGAGTCTATGACGGAATCCACCGCTGATCCCAACAATCTTGGCATCTGCATACATAATGCTTTATATTGATAATCCTATTAACATTCATGGCAAATGTCAAATTGACGTAACGCCTTAGTAATTTTTCCATTATTCTTAATCATTATATATATTTATCCGATCTATTCGTTATGCGAAACTTTTGGATTCACTAGGTAATGATGCAACAGCTATATGTTATATATGTATATATTGAATACCTGATGCTCCGACGATGGATAAGACGCGCGAATGCTATCAATGTTCAATTTCCTCGGCGAATAACTCATTTGCGATGCATCCTCCAAGAATGCACAGTGTCTGGTTGGTGTACGATCCCGTAAGAAAACTGCATGTCGCGGACCTCGAATCGTCGCGTTACGAGCCACACTTGAAACATCTAAAATATTACACACGTTTGAATATCGTATTATGTGAATTGTAAAATGTTTTAATAACAATTCTCCTTTCTTTCTTTTAACCGACACAGATATTATGGTACACACAATAAGTAAATATTCACAAGTAACAAAGTAGAAGAATGAAATAAAAGATACAATCGTACAATACGCAGCGAGAATTTTAGCTCACGAATTACCGCGCAGTTCTTTTATTCTCACTTGTCTTTGTGAATATTTACGTATTGTTTAAATTTCAAGAATCCTATTAAAGATTATTATACGCCAAGCTTTAGATCTCTTTGTGTATAAAAGTACGATTAGTCACATTATAATGAAATAATTAAATTATCAGTTTAAAAATCGTCGCGATAGAACTTGCGGAGAATAAAATATTGGAATACGTGAAACTTACGTGGTAAAATACCGTGACAAAATTGGCCCCATGGACCATGTCCATGCGCGTTTGCATTCTGGACATCTGGGTGAAGAATGCTACCCATTTGTGGTGATGAATGAGGCGTTCTCGGAAGTGGATGAGGACTAGCGCTGTTCTACAATCAGAATATCAGGCAATTTTTATAGACACTTATAATATTAATTTATGAGAGTAAAAATGTTTATTCACGCTTTGCCACGTAAACAACAGGTATATTTTACGTTTAATGAGATCGATACAATTTGTATTTGCCAATTTACATTGAACAAAATTCACAAGTCAAAATCGACGCTTTTTCTAACGCTGTCTCGTCCGATATAATTATGCCCCATTGCGTTCTGTATATTACTTGATAAGGATGCCACTTCTGGCCGTCGACAAAGTCGGCGTATTCCGCAGATTCTGGTCTGCGAATTTCTCTTTCCGCGGCCTGGATATCCGGTGAATAGCCGTTGGAGGAAAATGCCGCGGTGGCGCATTCCGATGTCTGATTTCTTTGGTCCTTGATAGGCTTCTCGAGATTACGTTGTTGCTGCTGCCGCTGTTGGTGCTGGTGCTGGTGCTGGTGCTGGTGTTGGTGCTGTTGCATCGCACCCATTGCTTGCAGCCTCTCGATCGGATCGCCGCACATATTCCCATACCAATCGCCGATTCGTGGCGAGTGTGCGGGTTTCAGGCGATGCGCGGCCTGGAACCAGGGCTCGGTCGTCTGATGAGGACTCACGTTTGGACCCATGGGCATCGGCGTGCAATCGAAACGATGATGTTGATTTAGAAAGTCGCCGGCCATTGATGCGGAAACGACGGAATTAGCGCCACCAATCGCGGCTGTGCGCGCGTTTGCGGTCGCGATCGCGCTTTGCAAGATCGACCGTCGTGACAGCTCGCGAGTTTGCTCGCGCATCGCCTTCCGTAGCCTCGCCTCCTTTGGATTATACACATAATCTGCGAAAATGTACACGCGATTGTTATTAAATGCAGAAATGCAAAATGTCATGCTATTGTATAATCGTACTGTTTTTGAATATATACCTATAGTACGCGCGTACATACACACGTATTTATTTAGTCTAGGACAGAAACAAATAATATATACGTACAACAAACTTTCAAAAGCAATCAATCATGTTAAGACATTCATTTGAATACGTTAATGTGAGATCATGTAATTTTCATTGTAACTGAAATAGATTTTTTTCAAATGATAAACATCTCACATTTATTGTACAACGAACTACCTTGAATTATCCAATTGCACGCAATATCTGCATAATACGCAAATCTTTGTCAGATTTTTAAATTGTCTATTGTAAAGTTTTGTTCGGCCGAAAGAAATTTCTTTTTTTTTTCTAGGAATTAATTTTTCCAACGTTTAACAAATAAGTGAATTTTCAAATGAAATATACTTGTATATTAACTGTTATATCTTTTCTTCGTTTTACGAATAGATAAATTTGTTTGTATTCCCTTTTTAATTTCGGATTCAACTGTAATTACGGCCCTTATTCTGTAACTCTCGATGATAGTAACAATATGGTTACATATATGTCATTGCGCAGGTTTTGTACATGGTAAAAAAGCTGCGCAACAATAATACATATAATGTTCGTGTTATCCTACTGTCGTGAAGCGTTACAGTAGGATAAGATCCTTAAATGACAGAAAAAGAATAGTACGTGCACGCAATGTCGCAAAACTACGCAAACTATCGTTTCGGCATGCGACATGCATTCCATTTGCAGAATTCTACCTGTGGGATACGTGGGTGGTAACGCTCCGTTGTATCGAGCATTAATGTCCATCGCGTTAGAGATTGGCGCGGCATCATAGCCAGGGTACGCTACACTACCATTGTCGTAACAAAAGTACTGCTGATGTTGTTGCTGTTGCTGTTGTTGTTGTTGCTGCTGCTGCTGCTGCTGCTGCTGCTGTTGCTGCTGCTGCTGCTGATAAAAATGACCACCTGCCGCGTAAGCCTCGATGTAATTGCAGCAGTCCATTTCTGCGATTTTGCGCGACACTGCGTTTGCGAAGCTTCACGTATCGATCTAGATCTCCCCTGCTAGCGACACACTTAGGCTTCCTCGTAGCGTGCAAACATCGCCCAAAACTCCGATCTGTCTCGGTTACAGTACATCATAGATCGAACTCATTGATGCTTCGATCGATAAACTCGAGTATGCACTGCGTCTCTCAAAACGCTTATTTTCCCTCGATGTTTCCGAAAATTGTTATTAATATTTTTCATGTTGGTACGCCAAGTGAAATTCTTGTCGAGATTCAATTAAAATATTAATTAGTAGAGATACGCAATTTCTTTGATTTTATCGTACGTAAAGTTCAACTGAGATGCACCCTCGCGATTTCACAGGACATGCACCTTTGCAAGATATATAAAGATCGGCATGCACGTACGAATTTTCTCTTTGCCAGTTGGTGCTCCTTTAGATTCACATTTTCGTGAACTAATACCGAGCATGCGAGAAATGAAGGTAACGCGCGATTTTAAATCGTGCTTTCTGTGAAGCTCGATCGATATCTCGATTTCGCGGGTTCACGTCTCGTGGCTCTTGCAAATGTAAACACCACTCGCGCGCCCGCGGACGACGCGCGACGCACCGCTCTCCTCTCCTCTCTTCTCCTCTCCTCGTTCCGAAAGGCGCAGAGTGTGAGCGCGAAAGTCTTATTAGCAGTCCCTTTTTGTGCTTTTGCTCTTGCTGCAAGATCGCCGGACGTTTTTTACGCTGAGAAAACGGTGCAATTGCCGGAGGAAGCGTCGGAAAGATCCAGCGCTCGCAGTTCCGTCGACGTCGACCTCCTCCTCGTCGTCGTCGTCATCGTCATCATCGTCGTCGCCGTTGTTAACGTCGTCACCGTCGTCGTCATCATCGTCATCGAAGTCGTCGAAGTCGTCGAAGTCGTTGTCGTCGTCGTCGTCGTCAGCATCGTCTTTGTCGTTGACATTGTCGTCGTCAGAGATAATCGTCGGTAAATTAATGTGCGTCACCATCGACGATCGTGACTAATTAACGGCATCATCCTCATTCGATCGCCGCCGATCGCCATGCGTTCGCATGTAAACGTGATCCGACGTGTGCGGCGCGGCGAACCGCGCCATGCTCGCTGCAGCCGCGGCAAGATCGATGACAGAAGCTGCGCTCTCGCTACACCTGCTGCACCCCTCGCACGCTCCTGCCCCCGTTCCCCGAAAACAAGCGCGACCTTTTCCGCGCCTTCGTTGACACCGTTTTCGTTGCCGTGATCAATTCGATCCTTCTGCTTGATATTCTTTTCTTTCCTTTTTACAACAACAGATCATCTATTCTCAACAGATCTTTTTCAGAATCGATATTTTCTCGGACGACATTAGATGACAAGGTTGGATTAAAAATTGTTAGGGTAATTTCCGATCTACGATCTCTCCGTTTTTTTACGATCACTCTAATTTGCTCTCTCTCTCTTTCTCTCTAATCTGCTTGTTAATTAATCACTTGACCTAGTCCACGCGACGCATCGATCTCGACTCCAGACTTTCTTCCTTTTACATATATTTCTTTTTTTCGTGCAGATACATTCCGAGCGTTTCCTAAACGATTCTAATCCAGTTTAGAAACGTGAAGCATGTTTCTTTCATTTACGTAGTACTCTGTTTAAACTATACTACTATCACAACGATTTCGCACGCTTGCGTCTATTTTACTACGATGAATGAACAAATGTACCTTCGTCTTCCATTTCGAAGCGTTTCGCGCGGTCGTTTATATTAATTGATACGTGCACCGCGTTTCGGCGCGCACAACGACCTATTTACTCGTCTCTTTTCCCACTCGCTGTGTCACATCGCGCTGCTGTGTTACTCTCACGGACAGAAGAATGTATGAACGGACGAACCAGCGATGGGCGGGCGGACGCGCGCGCGCGCGTGCCGCAAGCGGGAACGGCGGGCCGCACACGGGGAGACCCGCGTTCTTCCCTCGCGGTGCACTCCAGTCGCACTGATTTCATCCGACGGCGATGGAGGCGGCGA